GGGGGGGGGGGGGGGGGGGGGGGGGGGGGGGGGGGGGGGGGGGGGGGGGGGGGGGGGGGGTGGGGGTGATTTTATTATATTACAGTTAAATATTTAATTTAATATAATAATTATGAAATGTAATCAATTAATTTAAGAAAAACCTGATTTTTGTAATTTTAAACTGTTTGACCTGATTTTTAATTTTGAATTAGTAAACACCTTATCCATACACTTTTCCCTACTATTAACTTCAAAGTTTTGTTCCCCATCTGTTTCAAATTGAAAGAGAGCCTAAAGTTATTTTAATTTTACCTTTAAATTTTTTAAAATAAATCGAACCAAGTAAACCAATCCTTATTAGTTGCTGGGCTTAACTATCAAACTTGATACGACCTGTTCGTCATAATGGACCGACCAACCCATATTTACTTCATGAATGGAATTACTGCTAAATTACCTATGACAGTAGGAAAAATCTTCTGAACATAAAAAAGACTGAATAGCCATGAAAAACACCGAGCATATGTTTCAACAATAACATTTCTAAACAAGGTTCTAACATGATACCAAATGTGTTGATGAAGAGAATCAAACAAAGCATGTCCGTTACAATGTAAACTTCTTTCATACCCTTAAGGAACTCGATTGGATTTATCGAGTGATGACTATATTACAATTTAAAACTTTCAGTTTGGAAAATAACGAGCGTAATATTTTCTCAAATTTGACAGGTATAATAAACATATTTTCAGGGACTTCACGACCCAAGAAGCTTCTTCCATCTGGCGTATCCTAGGACCAGAACAAATAGCGATACACAAGCGGCTGTCATAATTCCAACAGTGAGCTCGAATATCCCATTAATATTATACAATGAGCAAGGGATGTTCATCCCAAACCACCCAGCCATCATAGTCTCTACAGCTATGGCAAATGATGCAATTGTCAAAGTTAATTGCAGTTGAATAAGTTCATTTCGCTGATTGTCAAGTTGGATGTTAACATAATCTTCTGTGTCATCGATGTATTCCCGTACCTGGAGATTTCACAAGTGAAAAGAAAAGAAAAATCGATGATCTTTAGAATGTTTAAGAACATAAAGATGACCATGATCGCGCCTCAAAAATAAGTTCACTCTAACTAATAGCAATTTTAAAAAGAAAAAAAAAAGTGCTAGTGCAAGCGAACAGGAAAAGTAGAGATATGGATTTCTGAACATTCCAACTTTTCTCCTGACAGAACAAAGTACTAGAAAATATATTCTTCCGAGAAAAACAAAAGACAAGAAAGGAAATAGTAAGCTTTTTGAATTTCTCTTTTGCCGCCCAATTTCAGATTGTGAATTTAGAAGAGCCAGAGATTCCAGTCAGCATTGCAGGCTAATTCTGCAGGATCTATGGCCAAATAAATATGAGAAATTTCCAAAATTCACAAAAATATTATCTTCCACAATCTCGTTGAGCACCATGAGGATTTGTCTTAAATAGTATGTACATCGGATGAGACAGGACAAAATAGCTGAAGAGAGGTGAGAGAACCCAAAAAAATGGCAGACATCCTACGAACCAAATTACTTATCAAGTTCTACTAATGATGTTGTAAAAACCATACTTGGAGGAGATTCAGGACAAAAGTTAGATTGTAAGGCAACAGAAAACAGGTGAGAGTACCAAAAAAATGGTCAAAGACCTTCAAACCAAAATACTATCAAGTTCTATTAATGATAATATAAAATTTAAAGGACTTTGATTGTCTTGGAAAATACCTTTAGCTGTTCAACATACTTCCCTACGAGCAAAAAACAATCAAAAAGGAAAAGGAAAGGAAAGAATGTCATGTCATAGTCGAGGATATACTTACAGATAGTATCTTGTTACGAATGCCATCCAGTTGCATGAAGTAAGCTTCAAGTAACATTTCTAGGTCCTCCACGTCATTGTCATTTAAATAGTTGCTTACCAAACTACCACTTCTTGCAGAGTTAAGTCGTCGGAGATGGGGAGCAGTGGGAACATTGCCATTTGACGCCATTGCTCCCATCGAAGCCTCCGATTGCTGATTCTGTATCCACTTCCTTGTTAAATATAATTGGGCCATATCTTCATCATCATCTAAAAGATGTTCGATCTCATCTCTCACCTACCACCAGATGCGTGTTTGCCCCTACGTTAGTATATAGGAAGAAAGTAATTTGGCTCATGAATTTTAACACTCCTTATTCATGATAATAGATGCAAAATAGGTCTTTGCTATCAGATGTCCATCCAAGGAAGAGATATAAAGCTGGAAGTGGTTCGGGAATGCAGGGCCATCCGTAGTTAGTCTAATTGCATTGTTACAAGTCACAATAAATTGACAATATTTGATACTTGTATTCTTCAAGTTGCTTGCATAAACTCTAGTCTAAAAACTTAAATAAGACAAGGACAAGGCACTTGAAGCCTTGGACTATTTCAGCAGTTCTTATTGCTTTTGAGATGATTGGTCGATGTGGAGTCATTGCCAATACAAGCAACAACTACAGCCTTAACTACCATGTCATAAACTTATCTCAAAAGTAAGCGGCGTCAAGTGGATAACCCTTAATTTCATATTCTAGCCTTTGAGGCTATGTTGGAATAAGTTCTAACTTCACTCTGCACACGCAACCCCCACTTCCAAATTAAGGGGTGAACTAAACATGGTGGATGGTGCTAGTATGCACAACCAAGAATAAGCTGCAACTATGGCATGAGCTCATGAAGGGGCAGCAATTGAACAAAAATTGAAGTACAAACATGAATAATTTATGAAATGAAACATGTCCAACAGCTCTTGAAGCTTAGCATAAAGTTAGAGCATCCATCTCAAATAAAATTAATATTAAATAGACAGGACATCTAAGACTCTATTCTCAGGAATAATACTAATCCATTTTTGACAGTCTAAAATCTAAGAAATTGATGTAAGACATGAAGTATTCATTTTTTGTTAGTCCATAAGTACGGAAGATAGACAGTTGTCCTAGAGGTCACTGGATAGATCGGAACCCATGTTGATGACCCACAGATTATTTAAGTCGAAATAAGTCCTGCAAACCTAAGAGCAACCTCCAAGAAGCTATACCCATGAAAAAGTTTCCTCAACCAGAAAAATGAAGTTTTTATAGGGGTAAAATGAAAAATGAAAATATTGACAATAGGCAGGTATGGAATCCAAAAAAAAATTCATTCACTTCAGCTCTTTTAGACAGTCTACCTTCTATAAAGATTTGAGAAGTAAGAGTAGGGAAGGGCATCAAAATTCCACAAAAGCGTCATGCCAAGAAATTAGAAAACTATCATGATCAAATAACAAAAGAAAAGAGACAAAATCTTTACCCTTTGCACCTGTGCAAGCAATCGAGTGAGGTTGCTTTTCAAACTCCTCACACGCTCAAGATTCTTCGTGCTAACATTTCTGGCTAGTTCATCCAAAACCGGGTAAGCAACTCTCTCAAGTTCGGCAACACTAGAATCCAAATATGTACAGACCACCTCTAATGCGATTTCCAAAACCTGGAACTCAAAAGGAAGCTCAGCTTGCAAACCTTCAGCAGCTTCTGGAACTGGTAACCATTTTCCAGCAGTAGGGGATTGCATTCCATGGTCTTGAGCAATCAACTGATGTGACCCATGATTAGAAGAGCTTTTATGCAATAGAAGTTGCCTCAGCTGATCCACAAAAGGAAGCACCTCTTGGCGCAGAGGATCAAGTAACAATACTTCTTCAGCTGTAACTATAGCTCTTATGAATTCCAAATTAACAACCATGGCCTTTTCCCTTGCTGCAAAGTGCAAACAGAATGAGAAGAAATTAATTCTTCTTGTTACTGGTGTATATATACAAGTCTCTCTGTGTGTGTGTGTGTACACACGCATACATGATGTATACTTGTTCGTACTAGATGTAAATGGCGTGCAACTCGTGCATATACTTCCAAGAGCCTTCAATGTATAATAACAAATGAGACTTTGCATGGATGCTAAAATGAGACTCAATGAATGGATTTAGCATATCACAGGTGATCCGTAAAGAACTACATCGACATAAGGATTTAGCCGATCATAAGTGATGCAAAAAGTATGTACAACTCTCAAAACATGAGTAAACTCAATTTATTAGAAAATTGGCAATCAAAAGACACTCCATAGATTCCTGATCATGCATGATGAAGCAGCACTAAAAGAGCACTTCTGTTTTATTTTGATATAGACATTAAAGAGTCTATCTTGTGTGATTGCAAAATGAATAATGTTATTCATTGTTAGAAATGAATCACGGGGACTATTTCCTCCTAGAACTTTGATTAACACAACTAATAATGTATGGCATTACAAAATATAGCTTCTTCTTTAGTGTACGGTAAATAGTTGACTATTCAAAGTGGCAAATGTGGAGGATACTAGTCTACTAGAATTAAATACAGACATTAAATATGGGTCAAAGGTCCACAAATTCACAGTTTGCAAACCGCATAACGAGAACTAATAAGCACTGAATTTATTCCTTCTTTATTGTACAACAGAAATAAATACCGTTCTCCCATCACTCAATCACCCAGTACAGGAAACAAGTCCCTGACTGATTTTTGCAACGTGATCAGAATATAAAGCAGTAGATAATTGCTTCAAATTTACTATTAATGGAGAAAATTTTTTCGAATGGAATTTAGATTTAGTAAGCAGATAAATGTTAACAAAATCATATTATTCACGTTATCAAATCGTCAAAATTAAAAATAAAAATCGCAAAGCAAAAAGCACACATACTGATCTCCAAAAAGTGAAACTATAGGTACCAAGGATTCTGGACGAGTGAGAGAAGATCGGTCCGAGGATCCTCAAGTCCCGAGAAGGAATTGACACGCGCTTCAGAATAACGCTTTTATCGCACTCGATCAGTTCGGAGTGTCCCCAGCGATCTAGCCTCATCCAAAGCCTCGCCCCTCCAGCTTTCTTCTTCCCCAGCGCCGCCTTACTCGCCGACACCATGGAATTGTTAACCACCTCGATTGTCGGCGGCGGTGAAGACACGGGCTTCTTCTTCCGCCGGAACGTCAATTGGCCCATCCGCTTCCCCATTTCCTCACTCTCTCTAGGGAGCGTATCTATCTATATACAGACTTCTTCTTCGTTTTCATCCATATAACACAGAGAAGTCTCCCGGCTGGATAATGCCGTTTCAGATTTCAGGTTATGCCTTTTAGAGAGAGGATGGGGAGAAGGTGACCTCAGACGTGTATATTTATTTTTATATTGGAATTGGAATAAAAAAAAGTGAAATGTAATTACCCACTCAGTCCTAATCATATATGCTTGTTTAGTTTCACGAAAGCTTATTTAGGGCGTGTTAGGTAGGCGGTAGGGATTAAAATCAGATTAAAATTGAAAAATTAATCGTTATTGTTGACTTTTATTAGACAAGTGGGACCCAACAACGACTATATTTTCAATTTTAATTGAATCTTAAGCTTTGTCAAACATGCTCTTAATGTCATTGAAAAATTAATTTTTTTCAAGAATTTTCCTAGTTTATCCTTATTTAATTTTCAGTGTGTAAAACTAAATTATTGTTAGAATAAATAAAGAATTTGAATTTTCAAGAAGCTTGCATATTAAGTGGAGAAAATTTAATAAAGGTATATTAGTAAAAGAATACAACAAAATATTCTACATCAAGAAACAAGCCTACATATTTGGGATAAGAAAAAAAGGAAACTCAAACCTATATAATTGAGACGGATGGAGTATTATATTGTTATTTTATTATTAATAAAAATGCGATGTAATTATTATATGGTTATTTTTATATTAATATATTATCCTCAATAACTACTATGCTGTAGAGAGTATATGAAAAATCAAGCATGCTACGTAGGGATAACGGTTGACTACCAGTCAATTAGACTGTTTAAAATACAGTCAATTTTTTTCATCCAATTACATCTTGTTAACATCTATTATGTCACTCATTATGTCACATACTTTCTCAAAAAATAACATCATTCATAAAAAAAAATAGTTTGAGAAAAACGATTTTAGGTTTATTTAAAACATATTCTTTATTGTCGTAATTTATAATATATGCAAAATTAGCGAAAGAGACTGCATCTATTAATAAAAAGAAATTTACAAAATACATCATTATTAATATATTATCCTCGATAACTACTACGGGTTACGGAGTATTCACCGTTCAGAGAGAATATAAAAAGTAGTTTGTGAAAAACGATTTGTAATTTATTCAAAACATATTCTTTATTGTCGTTATTTATGCAAAATTAGCGAAAGAGACGGCATCTATTAGTTATGAGAAATTTACAAAACACATCATTTGTGTTGTGTATTTATATTTATAGGAAAATTATCCAGAAACCTACAGTTTAAGTATTTATTTCAAATATCAAACCTTATACTTTTCTTGTCACAAATAAGGGGTTAATTCATCTTTTAAATATTAAGAATAATATTATAAAATTAAAATTTAATGTACATATTCAACCCTGCCCATGCCCCTACCCCATTTTGTTCAAACCCAATTTCATTTATGAACCCTATCTCCTTTCTCTTCCTCCTTATATGTTCTCTCTTTATCACCCAATCCACCCATCCCATCCCATCCCTTCTCTATATTCTTGGCGCCGAGCTGTTTGTGAAGCCGTCGACAAAATATTAGCCACCACTGCCAAAGGCCGCTCCCACAGAGCCGCGCGATTCTCATGAATCGGCTCAAGCTAAGTTCATGTTCTCTATTGATTGGTTTTCGATTACTTGAAAGAGCCTTTACCGGTGATTTTAGAGGTTACTGATTATATCAGGACTTATTGGAACGAGGTTTTCCAGTTCTACATTCTCGTTTAGTTCAATTCTTAAAGATAGATCTCCACTAGGTTCTCGTTCCATTTTTGGGTTGAAGAACAACCTGCCTTCTTTTGGGTTTGGTGCTTCTGGTTATGGAAGTTCTTCCATTTTTGGAACATCAGGTCCACCTATAGACAACAAAAGCGAAGAAAGTGAATTCCTTTCTTTGCAGGAGGTCGCTGCTAAAATAGGAGAAGAGAATGAGCAAATTGTTTTCACAGCCAATTATGTGTTGTTTGAGTTTATTGATGGAGCTTGGAAGGAACGCGGCAAGGGAGAACTCGAGGTCAATTCCTCCACAACTGGGATAGGAAAAGCTAGATTGATTATGAGAGTCCGAGGAAATTATCAGTTGATTTTTGAATGCCAATCTCTTCCCAAACATGAAGTCGATTAATATGGACAAAGGCATCACGTTTGCCTGTGTGAATACTGCCAATAAGGGATGTTGGAAACGATCAGAAACTAGACAGAACAAATAATGCAACGCACTTATAAACAGAATACTATTATGCAATATACAGATTGATAACAAAATTCAGTTTATAAGTGCGTTGCATTATTTGTTTTGTCCAGTTACTGATCGTTTCCAACAATCTATAGCAGAAATTATTTTCGTGTTTATTTTTTTTTTTAGTTTAATTTTTCTAGTATGGAACAATCTGGGACTGGCGTGAAAGTGAAACCCCATGTTGAGAAGCCAAACAAGTTCAAAGGATTAGACTTCAAACGATGGCAACAGAAGATGTTGTTTTATTGAGCAACATTGAATCTCGCTCATGCTGTCAAGGAAGAATGTCCCAATGCAGAAGGAGAAAATATTTCTGCAGAACAACTCGGTGCAATCGATACTTGGAAACACAATGAGTTTTTATGCAGAAATTATATTCTAAACAGCCTTGATGATACACTAAATGATGTGTATAGATCTTATAAAACTGCAAAGGAACTTTGGGATTCGCTAGAGAATAAATATAAGATCGAAGATGTTTGTTTAAAGAAATTCATCATTGGGAAATTCCTAAAGTACCAAATGATGGATTCAAAGGCTGTTGTCAATCAAGTTGAAGAGTTGCAAATTATTATCCATGAACTTGCTGCAGAAGTAATGAACCTATCAACGGCATTCTCTGTTGGATCTGTAATAGGGAAATTACCTCCATCTTGGAATGATTTCAAGATTCATTTAAAGCACAAGAAGACTGATATGTCTATGGAGGATCTGATTCTCAAACTAAGGGTTCAAGAAGATCACCGAAAAAGTGAAGTGTTGAATGCTTCAGTGTTCGAAGCCAAAGCCAATGTCATTGAGGGTGGAGAATCATCCAAGCCTAAGCCTAAATTTCAGAAGAACAAAAGGTTCAACAACAAAGGTAAATGTCCAAGTGTTTTTGCTCCAAAAGGAAAGAATTTCAAGGCAATTAAGGGTGCTTGCTAGGTATGTGGAAAAA